TTTCAGTGAATGGAAACCAACTAGATTCCCATTTTACCTTAATATACGGTTGGTTTCCAGATTTCAGGAAACCAAGTCATTTTTTGTAGTGTGTTGTGCACAGTAGTATACTGATATCCATCTCAGCAGGAATGTTCTTCTGGTGTTGTGCACAATAATATACTGACGTCCATCTCACCATGTATGTTCTTCTGGTGTTGTGCACAATAGTATACTGATGTCCATCTCAGCAGGTATGTTCTCCTGGTGTTGGGTACAATAGCATTCTGATGTCCATCTCAGCAGGAATGTTCTTCTGGGGTTGTGCTCAATATTGTACTGATTTCCATCTCAACAGGTATGTTTCTTCTGGTGTTGTGCACAAAAGTATACTGATGTCCATCTCATCAGGTATGTTCTTCTGGTGTTGGGCACAATGGTATACTGATGTCCATCTCAGCAGGTATGTTCTTCTGGTGTTGTGCACAGTAGTATACTGATGTCCATCTCAGCAGGAATGTTCTTCTGGGGTTGTGCTCAATATTGTGCTGATTTCCATCTCAACAGGTATGTTTCTTCTGGTGTTGTGCACAAAAGTATACTGATGTCCATCTCAGCAGGTATGTTCTTCTGGTGTTGTGCACAGTAGTATACTGATGTCCATCTCAGCAGGTATGTTCTCCTGGTGTTGTGCTCAATATTGTACTGATGTCCATCTCAGCAGGTATGTTCTTCTGGTGTTGTGCTCAATATTGTACTGATTTCCATCTCAGCAGGTATGTTCTTCTGGTGTTGTGCACAATAGTATTCTGATATCCATCTCAGCAGGTATGTTCTCCTGGTGTTGGGCACAATAGTATACTGATGTCCATCTCAGCAGGTATGTTTCCTCCTGGTATTGTGCACAATAGTATACTGATGACCATCTCAGCAGGTATATTCCCCTGGGTTGTGTACAATAGTATACTGATGTCCATCTCAGCAGGTATATTCTTCTGGTGTTGTCCACAATGGTATACTGATGTCCATCTCAGCAGGTATGTTCCCCTGGTGTTGTACACAATAGTATTCTGATGTCCATCTCAGCAGGTATGTTTCTCATGGTGTTGTGCACAATAGTATTCTGATTTCCATCTAAAGAGGAATGTTCTGCTGGTATTGTGCACAATAATATACTGATGTCCATCTCTGCAGGTATGTTCTTCTGATGTTGTCCACAATAGTATACTGATGTCCATCTCACCACGTATGTTTCTCCTAGTGTTCGGCACTTTAGTATTCTGATGTCCATCTCACCAGGTATATTCTTCTGGTGTTGTGCATAATAGTATACTTATGTCCATCTCAGCAGGTATGTTTCTCCTGGTGTTGTGCAAAATAGTATACTGATGTCCATCTCAGCAGGTATGTTCTCCTGGTGTTGGGCTACAATGGCATTCTGATGTCCATCTCAGCAGGAATGTTCTTCTGGGGTTGTGCTCAATATTGTACTGATTTCCATCTCAACAGGTATGTTTCTTCTGGTGTTGTGCACAAAAGTATACTGATGTCCATCTCATCAGGTATGTTCTTCTGGTGTTGGGCACAATAGTATACTGATGTCCATCTCAGCAGGTATGTTCTCCTGGTGTTGTGCACAGTAGTATACTGATGTCCATCTCAGCAGGAATGTTCTTCTGGGGTTGTGCTCAATATTGTACTGATTTCCATCTCAACAGGTATGTTTCTTCTGGTGTTGTGCACAAAAAGTATACTGATGTCCATCTCAGCGGGTATGTTCTTCTGGTGTTTGTACACAATAGTATTCTGATGTCCATCTCAGCAGGTATGTTTCTCATGGTGTTGTGCACAATAGTATTCTGATTTCCATCTAAAGAGGAATGTTCTGCTGGTATTGTGCACAATAATATACTGATGTCCATCTCTGCAGGTATGTTCTTCTGGTGTTGTCCACAATAGTATACTGATGTCCATCTCACCACGTATGTTTCTCCTAGTGTTCGGCACATTAGTATTCTGATGTCCATCTCAGCAGGTATATTCTTCTGGTGTTGTGCATAATAGTATACTTATGTCCATCTCAGCAGGTATGTTTCTCCTGGTGTTGTGCAAAATAGTATACTGATGACCACCTAAGCAGGTATGTTTCCCTGGAGTTGTGTACAATAGTATACTGATGTCGATCTCAGCAGGTATATTCTTCTGGTGTTGTGCAATGGTATACTGATGTCCATCTCAGCAGGTATGTTCTCCTGGTGTTGTGCACAATGGCATACTGATTTCAATCTCAACAGGTATGTTTCTCATGGTGTTCGGAACAATGGTATTCTGATTTCCATCTAGATTGGGTATGTTCTCCTGGTATTGTGCACAATAATATATGCTCATGTCCATCTCAGCAGGTATGTTTCTCCTGGAGGTGGGCACAATTTTATACTGATGTACGTCTCAGCAGGTATGTTCTCCTGATGTTGTGCACAATAGTATACTGATGTACGTCTCAGCAGGTATGTTTCTGCTGGTGCTCTGCACAATGAGTATACTGATGTACGTCTCAGCAGGTATGTTCTTCTGGTGTTGTGCACAATAGTATACTGATGTCCATCTCAGCAGGTATGTTTCTCCTGGTGAATTTGGGCACAGTAGTATACTGATGTCAATCTCAGCAGGTATGTTCTTCTGGTGTTGGGTACAATGGTATACTACTGTCCATCTCAGCAGGTATGATTCTCCTGGTGTTGTGCACAATAGTATACTGATGACCATCTCAGCAGGTATGTTCCCCTGAGTTGTGTACAATAGTGTACTGATGTCCATCTCAGCAGGTATATTCTTCTGGTGTTGTGCACAATGGTATACTGATGTCCATCTCAGCAGGTATGTTCTCCTGGTGTTGTGCACAATAGTATACTGATGTCCATCTCAGCATGTATGTTCTTCTGGTGTTGTGCACAATAGTATACTGATGTCCATCTCAGCAGGTATGTTTTCCTGGTTTTGGGCACAATAGCATTCTGATGTCCATCTCAGCAGGAATGTTCTTCTGGGGTTGTGCTCAATATTGTACTGATTTCCATCTCAACAGGTATGTTTCTTCTGGTGTTGTGCACAAAAGTATACTGATGTACGTCTCATCAGGTATGTTCTTCTGGTGTTAAGCACAATAATATACTGATGTCCATCTCAGCAGTTTTGTTGTCCTGGTGTTGTGCAAAATAGTATACTGACTGACGTGTACACGGTGTTATAATGATATACTAGGAAGTGGTCAAATGTAACTCACACCCTAGAATCAGGCACCTAATCGCCAGCACACACAGTCGGTCTTCTAAACCACTCAGCCAGCAAGGCGTCCACAAAAGTGGAAGTCGGACAAAATCCTGCATAACTGTGTGGTGACTACATGGCGTCTACCATCAACCAGACACACAGCTGTCCTCACGATACCTGCAGTACAACCAGTACATGCAGGGGAGTGGAGATGTCACACATCATCCCTGCGGGGGAGTGGAATGTCACTACATCATCCTGTGACCTCATAGTTGTCAGTAAGTTCATGTCATGAAACATTAGTAGTAATCAACAGGTAAGGGTGAACTATTACTATATAGCCTTTCCTCAACTACCCTGTAACCTCATAGTTGTCAGTAAGTTTATATCATGAAACATTAGTAGTAATCAACAGGTATGGGTGAAATATTGCTATAAAACCTTTGCCTCAACTACCCTGTAACCTCATAGTTGTCAGTTAGTTCATATCATGAAACATCAGTAGTAATCAACAGGTGTGGGCGGAATATTACTCTAAATCATTTGCCTCAACTACCCTGTAACCTCGCTGTTGCTAGTAAGTACAACAAATAGATATATAAATATAATTCACAACAAGTATGTACATAGCATACAATAATGATACAGTTTGATGTACCATTTTAATCCATGGTGACCATCATGCCCTAATATGTTGCTGTCAATGTCATAATTTTAGAAGCAATATAATCAACTGTTGACAGTCGAAAGACGTGTAAGTGAACTGTGTTCTCAATTCCAGGATGATAAAAAAAACAAAAAAAACGTGTGCGGTTTGTACCTACGATGTATAAATAAGATACAACAGTAAATAGAACAATTATACGTACCAAGTCAGAATGGCATTTCAGAATTACATGAGTAACACCAACGATCTATAATCCAGTTCAGTAGGAATCATTTGTTTTCATTTTTATATAAATTTGGCAGGATCATTGTCACTTGCCGCGGTTCATCATGTCACACACGAAACAATGCGAAGGTGAAAGTCATCTGTTTTCAATACCTTGTGTGACCCCGTGAGAGTCCAGAACTACCTGGCATCCACGCCCCCATGGAATCAATCAGATCCTGGGAAAGATTTACCTACTCTTCCTACACTACACCTATCTGACTGTTGCTCACGTGATAGCAGTCGCTGATGGAGAAGAGCATGCCATACATGTCCGATGGGGTTTAGATCTGGTGATCGTGAGGGGTAACGCGTTGATGTTGGGGTCAGCAAAAGGGCCAGTTTAAGTCTTGCCGTGTGAGGTCGGGTTTGCGTTTTGCTTTTGACAATCGAAATACGTGCGATTGTACCTACGATGTATAAATAAGATACAACAGTAAATAGAACAATAATTATACGTACCAAGTCAGAATGGCATTTCATAGTTACATGAGTAACACCAACGATCTATAATCCAGTTCAGTAGGAATCATTTGTTTTCATTTTTATATAAATTTGGCAGGGATCATTGTCACTTGCCGCGGTTCATCATGCCACACACGAAACAATGCGAAGGTGAAGGTCATCTTTTTTCAATACCTTGTGTGACCCCGTGAGAGTCCAGAACTACCTGGCATCCACGCCCCCCATGGAATCAATCAGATCCGGGGAAAGAGTTACCTACTCTTCCTACACTACACTTATCAGGCTGTTGCTCACGTGATAGCAGTCGCTGATGGAGAAGAGCATGCATAACTAAGACGAATCGCCCTGGCATTGTTGCCTAAGAGGTCTGCCAATCGTGGCATGTTTTCACTTTTCTGTTGCTTTACATATGTGATGAACGGCAAATGAAAACCCATCCTTCTCATAGACGAGCAATTAACGGCGCACGTTCATTACATGTTGGTGTGTTTTGTCGCCACGCTCCCACGTGCTTGCGTTCTTGCGTTGCTCCAGCTTTTCCGGTATTTTGGGGCCGTAATGTATTCTACCTTCTAAAATCCCTGTCCCATTCATGCAAACATGAGTCTTCATTCTGTATGAATATCAGTAGAATACTTGTATACTTTATATAGTTTGTTTACTTTTGCGGTTCTTTTTTTTTACAGAGTATATTACCTTCCCGTTTTTGGTACGATTTGTACTTGCACATGGTCTTGACTGAACACCTACATTATTGCTCCATGAAAGCGTTAAATTTCGTTTTCACTTCATGTTTTTGTCACTGATTACATCTGAGTATATTTGACATGAATTTTGTATACGTTATTATATTTTCAGAACTGCCCGTCTGTGCCATGACACATCACGTCACTGACCCTGGCACTGCTGAGCGGGTATTACTGGGAGTAAACATCAAGGGGTATTACTGCTCTGAGTTGGCTCAAGTGAATATGTCTACAGGGGATAATGTAACTGAATATCCTAATGAAACAGTCACAAACATAACCGATAAAACGGTACGGATCGACGTCAACACGACCGACGCCAGCATTGGGACGGAGCTGACCTTCACCTGCGGTGACCAAAGATGGAATATGTCCTGTAACCAGGACAACAGTGAGGGTAGGGGCAAACTGGCATAACTAGTATTCACTACTTTGACAAGTCATTTCAGATTAAAACTAAGTTATGGAGATCGTGGGGACTTGCCTGTACGACCCACTATTCCTTGCCTGTACACCCCGCTACTCCTTGCCCGTAAACCACGCTACTCCAACACCCAGCTACTCATTGCCTGTACATCCCGCTATTCATTGCCGGTACACCCCGCTACTCCTTGCCTGTACACCTTGCTACTCCTTGCCTGTACAACCCAAGACTCCCTGCTTGAACGCCCCGCTACCCCTTGCCTGTACACCCCGCTACTCCTTGCCTGTACACCCCGCTCCTGTTTGCCTTTACACCCCACTATTCATTGCCTGTACATCCCCCTACTCCTTGAACGTAAATCCCGCTACTCCTTGCCTGTACAACCCGTTACTCCTTGCCTGTACACCCCGCTACTCCTTGCCTGTACATCCCCGCTACTCCTTGCCTGTACACCCCTCTACTCCTTGCCTGTACACCCCGCTCCTGTTTGCCTTTACACCCCACTATTCATTGCCTGTACATCCCCCTACTCCTTGAACGTAAATCCCGCTACTCCTTGCCTGTACAACCCGTTACTCCTTGCCTGTATACCCCGCTACTCCTTGCCTGTACATCCCCGCTACTCCTTGCCTGTACACCCCTCTACTCCTTGCCTGTACACCCCGCTCCTGTTTGCCTTTACACCCCACTATTCATTGCCTGTACATCCCCCTACTCCTTGAACGTAAATCCCGCTACTTCCTTGCCTGTACAACCCGCTACTCCTTGCCTGTACACCCCATTACTCCCTTGCCTGTATACCCTGCTACTCCTTGCCTGTACATCCCCGCTACTCCTTGCCTGTACACCCTACCTTTGCCTGTACACCCTGCTCCTGTTTGCCTTTACACCCCACTATTCATTGCCTGTACATCCCCCTACTCCTTGAACGTAAATCCTGCTACCCTTGCCTGTACAACCTGTTACTCCTTTTGCCTGTACACCCCGCTACTCCTTGCCTGTACATCCCCGCTACTCCTTGCCTGTACACCCCTCTACTCCTTGCCTGTACACCCCGCTCCTGTTTGCCTTTACACCCCACTATTCATTGCCTGTACATCCCCCTACTCCTTGAACGTAAATCCCGCTACTCCTTGCCTGTACAACCCGTTACTCCTTGCCTGTATACCCCGCTACTCCTTGCCTGTACATCCCTCAAGCATTCCTTGCCTGTACACCCCTCTACTCCTTGCCTGTACACCCCGCTCCTGTTTGCCTTTACACCCCACTATTCATTGCCTGTACATCCCCCTACTCCTTGAACGTAAATCCCGCTACTCCTTGCCTGTACAACCCGCTACTCCTTGCCTGTACACCCCATTACTCCTTGCCTGTATACCCCGCTACTCCTTGCCTGTACATCCCGCTACTCCTTGCCTGTACACCCCTCTACTCCTTGCCTGTACACCCCGCTCCTGTTTGCCTTTACACCCCACTATTCATTGCCTGTACATCCCCCTACTCCTTGAACGTAAATCCCGCTACTCCTTGCCTGTACAACCCGCTACTCCTTGCCTGTACACCCCATTACTCCTTGCCTGTACACCCCATTACTCCTTGCCTGTACATCCCCGCTACTCCTTGCCTGTACAACCCGCCACTCCTTGCCTGTACATCCCCGCTACTCCTTGCCTGTATACCCCGCTACTCCTTGCCTGTACGCCTCGATACTCCTTGCCTGTACAACCCGCTACTGCTTGCCTGTACACCCAGTTACTCCTTGCCTGTACAACCCGCTACTCCCTGCCTGTACACCCCGTTACTACTTGCCTGTACATCCCGCTACTCATTGCCTGTACACCCCATTACTCCTTGCCTGTATACCCCGCTACTACTTGCTGTACATCCTGCTACTCCTTGCCTGTATACCCCGCTAAACCTTGCCTCTACACACCACTATTCCTTGCCTGTACACCCTGTTACACCTTGCTCGTAAACCCCTCTACTTCAACACAACGCTACTCCTTGCCTGTACGCCTCGCTACTCCTTGCCTGTACCACCCGCTACTCCTTGCCTCTACATCCCCGCTACTCCTTCACTGTACAACCCGCTACTGCTTGCCTGTACACCCCGTTACTCCTTGCTGTACATCCTGCTACTCCTTGCCTGTACATCCCGCTTCTCCTTGCCATTACGCACCGTTACTGCTTGCCTGTATACCCCCATACTCCTTGCCTGTACATCCCGCTAGTGTTTGCCTGTACACCCAGCTACTACTTGCTGTACACCCCACTACTGCTTGTCTTTACACCCAGCTACTCCTTGCTGTACATCCTGCTACTCCTTGCCTGTATACCCAGCTAATTCTTGCCTGCACACACCACTATTCCTTGCCTGTACATCCCGTTACTAGTTGCCTGTACACACCACTATTCCTTGCCTGTACACCCCGTTACTCCTTGCCCGTAAACCCAGCTACTCCAACACCACGCTACTCCTTGCCTGTACGCCTCGCTACTCCTTGCCTGTACAACCCGCTACTGCTTGGATGTACACCCAGTTACTCCTTGCCTGTACAACCCGATACTCCTTGCCTGTACACCCCGTTACTCCTTGCCTGTACATCCCGCTAGTCCTTGCCATTACACACCGTTACTGCTTTCCTGTATACCCCCATATTCCTTGCCTGTACATCCCGCTACTGCTTGCCTGTACACCCAGCTACTACTAGCTGTACACCCCGTTACTGCTTGCCTTTATACCCTGCTACTCCTTGCTGTACATCCTGCTACTCCTTGCCTGTACACCCCGTTACTCCTTGCCGTACATCATGGTACTCCTTGCCTGTATACCCCGCTAATCCTTGCCTGTACACCCCATTATTCCTTGCCTGTACACCCCGCTCCTGCTTGCCTGTACACCCCGCTACTACCTGCTGTACATCTCATTACTCCTTGCCTGTACACCCCACTATTCATTGCCTGTACACCACGTTACTCCTTGCCTGTAAATCCAGCTACTCCAACACCACGCTACTCCTTGCCTGTACGCCTCGCTACTCCTTGCCTGTACACCCGCTACTCCTTGCCTGTACACCCCGCTCCTGCTTGCCTTTACACCCCCTACTCCTTGCTGTACATCCTGCTACTCCTTGCCTGTACATCCCGCTAATCTTTGCCTGTACACACCACTATTCCTTGCCTTTATATCCCGTTATTCCTTGCCTGTACACCCCACTATTCGTTGCCTGTACACCCCGTTACTCCTTGCCCGTAAACCCCGCTACTCCAACACCACGCTACTCCTTGCCTGTACCAACCGCTACTCCTTGCCTGTACCACCCGCTACTCCTTGCCTGTACAACCCGCTACTGCTTGTCTGCACACCCCGTTACTCCTAGACTGTACATCCCGCTACTCCTTGCCTGTACATCCCGCTACTCCTTGCCTGTACACCCAGCTACTACTTGCTGTACACCCCGCTACTGCTTGCCTTTACACCCAGCTACTACTTGCTGTACACCCCGCTACTGCTTGCCTTTACACCCAGTTAATCCTTGCTGTACATCCTGCTACTCCTTGCCTGTATATCCCGCTATTCCTTGCCTGTACACCCCATTATTCCTTGTCTGTACAGCCAGCTACTCCTTGCTGTACATGCTGCTACTCCTTGCCTGTACACCCCGCTACTCCTTTCCCGTAAACCACGCTACTCCAACACCCAGCTACTCATTGCCTGTACATCCCGCTACTCCTTGCCTGTACACCCCGCTACTCCTTGCCTGTACACCTTGCTACTCCTTGCCTGTACACCCCGCTCCTGTTTGCCTTTACACCCCACTATTCATTGCCTGTACATCCCCCTACTCCTTGAACGTAAATCCCGCTACTCCTTGCCTGTACAACCCGCTACTCCTTGCCTGTACACCCCATTACTCCTTGCCTGTAAACCCCGCTACTCCTTCCCTGTACATCCCCGCTACTCCCTTGCCTGTACACCCCACATACTCCTTGCCTGTACACCCTGCTCCTGTTTGCCTTTACACCACACTATTCATTGCCTGTACATCCCCCTACTCCTTGAACGTAATCCCCACATTCTTTGCCTGTACAACCTGCTACCTCTTTGCCTGTACACCTCCCATTACTCCTTGCCTGTACACCCCATTACTCCTTGCCTGTACATCCCCGTTACTCCTTGCCTGTACAACCCGCTACTCCTTGCCTGTACATCCCCGCTACTCCTTGCCTGTATACCCCGCTACTCCTTGCCTGTACGTCCCCGCTACTCCTTGCCTGTACAACCCGTTACTCCTTGCCTGTACACCCCATTACTCCTTGCCTGTATACCCCGCTACTCCAATACCCCGCTACTCCTTGCCTGCATACCCCGCTACTCATTGCCTTTACATCCCGCTACTCATTGACTGTACACCCCGCTATTCCTTGTTTGTATACCCTGCTACTCCTTGTCTGTACACCCCGCTACTGCTTGCCTGTACACCCCGCTACTACTTGCTGTACATCCTGCTACTCCTTGCCTGTATACCCCGCTAAACCTTGCCTGTACACACCACTATTCCTTGCCTGTACACCCTGTTACTCCTTGCTCGTAAACCCCGCTACTTCAACACCAGGCTACTCCTTGCCTGTACGCCTCGCTACTCCTTGCCTGTACCACCCGCTACTCCTTGCCTCTACATCCCCGCTACTCCTTCACTGTACAACCCGCTACTGCTTGCCTGTACACCCCGTTACTCCTTGCTGTACATCCTGCTACTCCTTGCCTGTACATCCCGCTTCTCCTTGCCATTACACACCGTTACTGCTTGCCTGTATACCCCCATACTCCTTGCCTGTACATCCCGCTACTGTTTGCCTGTACACCCAGCAACTACCTGCTGTACACCCCACTACTGCTTTCCTTTACACCCAGCTACTCCTTGCTGTACATCCTGCTACTCCTTGCCTGTATACCCGGCTAATTCTTGCCT